TTTAATGTGTGTATGAGTGTGTGTGTGTGTGTGTGTTTAATGTGTGTGTGTGTCTGTGTATGTGTGTGTGTTTAATGTGTGTATGTGTGTGTGTGTGTGTGTGTGTGTTTAATGTGTGTATGAGTGTGTGTGTGTGTGTGTTTAATGTGTGTGTGTGTGTATGTGTGTGTGTGTACATGATATGGATTTATACCCGCATGGTATAATGTACATGTATCTAACTGCATCTGTAGTATTTATGTCCCTGTAAATTATTTATTTTAAGTGGATTTAAATAAATGGTTAAATGTGTGTGTGTCAGGACTCGGAGGTGTACAAGGCGTCGGTGAAGGAGGACATGCAGCGCTGGCAGGCTGCTCTGCGTCTGCACGGTTCGGTGGATTGGCTCATCGCGGTGGTGGAGAGCGACAACAAGAAGAAGAACAAGACCAACATCCTGCCGCGCACCTCCATCGTCGACAAGATCCGCAGCGACTTCTGCAACAAGCAGAGCGACAGGTGAGCTCCTGATCCCAGCATGCTCTTCTTCTGCAGCTGTGCTGAGCGTCTGACGAGCGTGAGAGCCGAACGCTGAATGAACAAACATGGACACAGGACAGATGTCATGAACCGCACAGAATCAGCATTTAATCAGTCGTTAGCAACCATCCCGGGTACTCTAGCAACCGCATAGCAACACCCTAGCAACTGCCTTAGGTACCCTGGCAACCGCATGGCAACACCTTAGCAACCACCCTGGGTACCCTAGCAACCGCATAGCAACACCCTAGCAACCATCCCGGGTACCCTAGCAACCGCTCTAGTAACCACCCTAAGTACCCTAGCAACCGAATAGCAACACCTTTAATCTTTTCAAACTTTTTCAAACTTTCTGGTCCAGCTTTCTCACGCCAACTTAAAGTTTGTCTTGACTAACTTTTTTATCTAGTTATATTTGTATTTTTATATATTAAAAAAACATAAAAATAAAAATATAATAAAACAAATACTTTTAAATAAATATAAATAAAATTATAAAAAAATAAAGCAAGCAATTTTGAAATGATAATTAAATAAATAAAAATATTTGTAATAAATATAACAGCCTTTATCACTTCAACAGAAAAGAAAAATAACAGAAAATTTCATGAAAGTTTATTGAACGGTCATTATTATTTTCCCTCAAAGCTTTGATTGCATCAACAGGAAAGAAAAAGGGCTGAGAAAGTTTCGTGAAAGATTGTTTAATTTTAAATTTTTTTATGCTTTATTTTTAGTGTTTTAAAAAGAAATAATAATGAAACAAATACTTTTTAAAACAAATATGAAAAAATGAAATACACAAATATTTAAAATATCATTAGATAATAAAATATTTGTAATAAATGTATCTGAAATTTTTAAAAACGGTAAAAAATCACATTGAGACGCTGAGCTGAATGAACAAACTCAACACATCGCTCTTTCAGACCTTTGAGATTTTATCTTGTTTATTCAGGATGAAGTCAAAGAAAGCGTGCAGTCGTAATGAAATATGTGCTTGCATGTGATGTGATTGTCTGCAGGTGTGTGTCTCTGTGCGATCCGCTGAAGGAGTCGTCGCGCTCGCAGGAGTCCTGGAGCTCGTTCCTCACCAAGCTGCGCACGCTGCTGCTCATGTCCTTCACCAGGAATCTGGGCCGCTTCGAGGACGACATGAGGACGCTGCGAGAGAAACGCACCGAGCCCGGCTGGAGCTTCTGCGACTACTTCATGGTGCAGGTGTGTGATTGGCTGAGGGAGCTGTCAATCACAGCGGCGGGTTGTTCTTCAGCTGTGCATCTGTGTGTTGATCAGGAGGAGCTGGCGTTTGTGTTCGAGATGCTGCAGCAGTTTGAAGACGCTCTGGTCCAGTATGATGAACTCGACGCTCTTTTCACACAGTATGTGCTCAACTTCGGCGCTGGAGGTAAACCGTCTTCAGTTAAGATTTAAAACAAACCCACTGTGATCTGAGAACATTCAGTGTGGATGTTATGATTGCTGTGCTTCAGGATTATTTGGAATATGTTAAGATGCTGTTGCACAGTATTACATCAGCAGAAAGATTCTTAAAATAAAATACACTTGTATTTTTTTATTTCAGTATTTTTTATTTTTATATTTTATTTTATAAAATATATTTATTGAATGCTTAAATATAAGTAGAATGATAAAACATAATAAATGCTTTTTTTAAATAAATATAAAGCAAAGTATTAAAAACTATTTAAAAAAATAGTTTTTTATGCATGTAACTCAAATAAAAATATGTTTACAGGACTTTTGAAATTTATGGATTGTTAAAATGTGATATTGTTGCTCAGTATTATTTTTCCACACAGCCTCGATTACATTAGCAGAAAGATTCTTAAAATAAAATAAATATATAATATATTTTAACATATATTGAATGTATATACAGTTCTTATTCTTTGTAATATTTTCTAAAATATATTTATTTAAAACATTTTTAAATATAAGTACAGTTTCAAAAGTAGAAGTACTTTTAAAAAATTAAAAATAAAATATTTTTTAAAATAGTTACAAATATTTTTTTGGCATATAACTAAAATTATAAAAAATATGTTAACAGCGTCTTTTGGATTTTATGGATGTTGTCATCACGATTTAATTGGAGTATGTTAAGCTGTGATATTGTGGGTTATAAAATGAGCAATATATTTTTATGTTTTGTATATTTGTATTTTTATAAAATATTCATATTTATAAAAAAATATATATTTTTATGTAAGTAAAATTATATTCATATAATAAAATACTAAAAATAAGAATATAATAAATGCATTTTTTTTTCAAATATATGTATATCGGTGCAGTATGTGTGTTTTATCATGATCTAAATGTAGGCTACTGTGGAAGACCAAGGGTTAAATTTTAATAAAACTCAAACAGTCAGAATAATTACATTTCACCACATAAAAATGAGATTGACATATTTTTTACAGATGTTGCTGTTTATGATAATGAACATGAATTTACATCTGCATCCAAACTCAAGCTGCTGTCAAATGTGCAGTTATTAATATTACAGCCTGCACTGCAAACTGTGCTGAAGATACACGTCATCAAAGTCAGGAACACAAACCTGCGTCATGATCTGAAACAATATCACTCATATTCTTCTAAGACATTTATTTAGTTAAGGAGAAATGACTAGAAAAGTGTAAAGAATTCAAAAGCGTGACATGTTTGTCATGTCAAGAGCAGTTTAATACCACAATTAACCGTCTGCTTTCACTTATGGAGCAAAAATCTGCCTTTAAACTTGATAGAAATACAGATTTGACATGAATCGTCATCATACCGCAGCTTCAGACAGTGCGTGGGGTTCTGTTGGTTTGGCGTCCGACTCTGTGTTTCTGGTGTTCAGACGGAGCTAACTGGCTGGGCTCGTTCTGTCAGCCGGTGCGCAGCTGGATGTGTGTGTGTGTGTGTGTGTGTGTGTGAGAGAGAGAGTGTGTGAGAGAGAGTGTGTGAGAGAGTGTGTGTGAGAGAGTGTGTGCGTGTGCATGCGAGAGAGTGTGTGTGTGTGTGCGTGCGTGTGGTGTGAGTGTGTGTGTGAGAGAGAGTGTGTGAGAGAGAGTGTGTGAGAGAGTGTGTGTGAGAGAGTGTGTGCGTGTGCATGCGAGAGAGTGTGTGTGTGTGTGCGTGCGTGTGGTGTGAGTGTGTGTGTGTGTTAGAGTGTGTGCAGTGCTCAGTGATTACACCACTCGCCCAAACTGTTTAGTCGAGCTGGGGTGCGTTTCCCAAAAGCATGGTAGTTAGTTCCATTGAAATCAATGCACCCCTGGACGATGCGCGCTACAGCTCAAGAAGCTATTTTGCCAATCAATCGAATTGCATTTGACAAGATTTTCAAGGCAATTAAGCACATTTCCCTCCAAATTCTCATTATTGTAGTGCAAGAGAATTTAATTGTTAATAATGCAAAGAAAATATTAAAATTAAATAGGAAATATTATTTAAAAAAAACTGAATTATATTTATTTATTTAAATTGATGTTATGTTTGAAATATGAGAATATTTCCATGACCAATGTTATTTAGAAGCATTGTGATATTACAGTTTAGTTTTATATTTTCTGCTTTCATGTTAATTTAGTTACAGTTTTAGACATTTTGGTGAGGCGTGTCTGATGCGGGTCTGAGGCACGTGTGTGATGCGTGTCTGAGGCACGTGTGTGATGCGTGTCTGATGCGCGTCTGAGGCACGTGTGTGATGCGTGTCTGAGGCACGTGTGTGATGCGTGTCTGATGCGCGTCTGAGGCACGTGTGTGATGCGTGTCTGAGGCACGTGTGTGATGCGTGTCTGATGCGCGTCTGAGGCACGTGTGTGATGCGTGTCTGAGGCACGTGTGTGATGCGTGTCTGAGGCACGTGTGTGATGCGTGTCTGATGTGTTTCTGAGGCGTGTCTGATGCGCGTCTGAGGCGTGACTGAGGCGTGACTGATAAGCGTCTGATGCGTGCCTGAGGCGTGACTGAGGCGTGTCTGAGGCGCGTCTGAGGCGTGACTGAGGCGTGACTGAGGCGTGCCTGATGCGCGTCTGAGGCGTGACTGAGGCGCGTCTGATGCGTGCCTGATGCGTGCCTGATGCGTGTCTGATGCACGTGTGTGATGCGACTGAGGCGCGACTGATGCGTGTCTGAGGCGCGTCTGAGGCACGTGTGTGATGCGTGTGTGTGATGCGTGTCTGATGCGTTTCTGAGGCGTGTCTGATGCGTGACTGTCTGATACATGTCTGATGCGTGCCTGATGCGTGTCTGTCTGATACGCGTCTGATGCATGCCTGATGCGTGTCTGTCTGATGCGCGTCTGAGGCACGTGTCTGATGTGTTTCTGAGGCGTGCCTGATGCGCGTCTGACGCGCGTGTGTCTGTGCTGCAGGTGTCTGTGGAGAGCGGCGGTCTGGACTGCTGGGTGTTTCTCAGCTCTCTGGAGGTCCTGCACCGGATCGAGGGCTGCTGCGACCGCAGCCAACTAGAGGCTAACTGCTCCCACACCGTGGGCCTGTGGACCTACGCCACGGAGAAGGTGCGGATCAGACACACGGCTAACAGCGGCCCGTTTGGGCTCATTCCTTCATTCATGTGTGGTTTCGTTGGCAGCTGAGGTCTCTGGGTGATCTGTGTGGTCTGGTGTCTGAGAACGGCCCGGACTCTGAGGACCTGAACAAAACCGTCGACCTGCTGGCTGGTCTGGGAGCAGAGAGACCCGAAACGAGTAATTTAGACCAAATAACACATCACTTCCCATTATATACAGTATATATACATACATGCATAAACACACATATGCACACCGGTCAAAAGTTTGGAATAATTAAAATGTTTTCTAAGGAAGAATGCAAGTCTGCATTTATTTGATAAAAAATACTGTAAAAAATGTGAAATAGAATTATAATGTAAAACAGCTGTTTTCTATGTGAATCTGTGTTAAACTGTAATTTATTTCTGTTCAAAGCTGAATTTTCAGCATCATTACTCCAGTCTTCAGAGTCACATGATCCTTCATATTCATATTTTTGTGGAATCTGTGATGCGCAACATATAAATGTTTGGAGAATACTTTAAAAAGGGTAAATTTATGCTTATATTTATCAAGGACGCATTAAATAGATCAAAAATGACTTTTATAATGTTACAAAAGATTTCTATTTCAAATAAATGCTGTTCTTTTGAACTTTCTATTCATCTGTGAATCCTTAAAAAAAATTAAATGTATCACAGTTTCCACAAAAAAATGCTTCTAATAATCAGCATATTATTCTGATTTCTGAAGATCACGTGACACTGAAGACTGGAGTAATGATGCTGAAAATACAGCTGCGCATCACAGAAATAAATTACAGTTTAACAGATATTCACATAGAAAACAGCTGATTTAGATTATAATAATATTTCAAAATATTTTACAGTATTTTGGATCAAATAAATGCAGCCTTGCTGAGCAGAAGAGACTCTTTCAGAAACATTTGACTGGTAGTGTGTGTATAAATAAAACCCATCAGTAATGAGGAGGATCTGCATGAGCGGCTGTCAGCCGTGTGTAGATTGTGTTTGGCGTGTCTGTAATGTGTGTGTCCTCTCTCTCTCTCTCTCTCTCTCTCTCTCTCTCTCTCTCTCTCTCAGTCAACAGTCCTCAGAGTCCCTATAAGAAGCTGAAGGAGACGCTATCATCCGTGGAGGCTTTTGAGAAACACTATCTGGTGAGCTTCCGGTCTCTGTAATCTGGGAGTGTTTGTTTTAGTGCTGTGATTACAGGGTTTATTTCTGCTCATGGTTTGTGTGTCTCTGCTAAGGAGCTGTCTCACGCCGCTATGGAGATGTACAGAGCGATCGGGCGGCTGCGCTCGGCCCGGCTGGTGGGGAAGAGTCTGGCTGAGTTCTACATGTGAGCAGAAACACCTGTAACACGTCCTCCAGAGGGAGACTGAGTGTATCCGTGTCGATTAATAGAACTAAAATAAATATAACAATATTTATAGTTATTTTACTGTAGTTTTATTTTGTAATACTTATAATAAACTATAATAAACTTATCATTTATGTATATTTATTAAAAAAATTTTTTTAAATATATAAATTATAAAATATATATATACAGTGGATGTAAAAAGTCTACACACCCCTGTTAAATTGCCAGGTTTCTGTGATGTAAAAAAAATTAGACCAAGATAAATAATTTCAGAACTTTTTCCACCTTTAATGTAAACTATAACCTGTACAACTCAATTAAAAAACAAACTGAAATCTTTTAGGAAAGGAGGAGTAAAAATAAAAAAATAATGTGGTTGCATAAGTATGCAGAAGTAAGGATGTGGCTGTGTTCAGAATTAAGAAATCACATTCAAACTCATGTTAAATAGGAGTCAGTACACACCTGCCATAATTTAAAGTGCCTCTGATTAAACCCAAATAAAGTTTAGCTGCTCTAGTAAGCTTTTCCTGACATTTTCTTAGTCGCATCTTACAGCAAAAGCCATGGTCCGCAGAGAGCTTCCAACGCATCAGAGGGATCTCATTGTTAAAAGGTATCAGTCAGGAGAAGGGTGCAAAAGAATTTCCCAGGCGTTAGATATACCATGGACCACAGTTAAGACAGTCATCATCAAGTGGTGATGCAACCACGTTATTTTAGTTTTTTATTTTTACTCCTCTTTTCCTAAAAGATTTCAGTTTGTTTTTTAATTGAGTTGTACAGGTTATAGTTTATATTAAAGGTGGAAAAAGTTCTAAAATTATTTATCTTGGTCTAATTTTTTTTACATCACAGAAACCTGCCAATTTAACAGGGGTGTGTAGACTTTTATATATATATATATAGTGGATATAAAATATACAGGGCTCCTCTGCTTTGCGTGTTTTCTGTCTTGTGCATGTGGTTTCTTTGACCGTGTGTAGATACCTGCAGACGAGCGCTCTGCTCGCCAGCGACACCAACCTGAGCGATGAAGAGAGGAGACACTTCTGCCAGGAGATCCTGACCTTTGCCAGCCAGACCGCAGAGGGCAAAGGTCAACAGAAAGGTCAGCTTTGTGCTCTGAGTGTGTTTAGTACAGCGGTCACAGCTAACCCTAAGAAAAAGGACAAAAACATTATAAAACTGTACACTTTATTCCAGGTCACATGTCTGCTCTCACATTGTTCCTTTAAATAACGATGAAAATATAATAAAATGTTTATATATATATATATAATATATAAAAAATATTTAATATATAGGAAAATAATAAAATTGTAAATTGATTAATTATAAAAAAATATATCTAAATATATATTTTTATTCATGTGTGAGTTTAACTTTATATTGTGAGTGAATTAATCACAGTTGCCATCTGAACCATTTGTTTTCGTCTAAGAACAATAATGACTCAAACGAATCACTGAATCATTTTACTAACTGGTTCATTTGAACAAACTATCTGAACAAACTGTCTTCTCTAAGTTCACAGACAAAAGGAAAGTCTGAAAATAAAGTAATTGTTTAAAATTTAAATAAAAGTCTAAAAAAAAAACAAGGAAATATATATTAATTATAAAAAATATAATTAAAAATAAAAAAATATAATACCCTGACTAAAAT